GGGGGGGATTAAAAAAACAACCCAAAACAACAAGAAGCAATTTTTCTAAAATTGTAGTACATAAAACTTGCACCCCCTAGATGTGTGCCCTTTACTCTCGTGGAAAGCAACCCCCTTTTTAGCTTTTCCTGACTCATCTGGAAGTAGATTCTGAGCCAGATTTAGAAAGTATATATTATAACACTTATTACTACATTATGTTTTTTTCAACGCGGATAGGAAAACGGGACTGTGTTAGTTGATTACTGTTGTTTGAGCCTGTGGCTGGCCATGTTAGTTCGCAAATGCAAAAAGCAAAACAAAAACTACAACAAAAAAAACAAAACAAAGAAAAACAAAAACAAAACAAAACAAAACAAAAACATTGACTGAACTATCTTACACTTCCATTCTAATAACAGTTAACCGATTCCCCCCCCCAAAAAAAACAAAAAACAAAAACCAACAACAACAAAAACACCAAAAAAAAAAACAACCCTCGTACATTTGCTCTTGCATACTCATCACAGGTGCGGAAGAGAGGACATATTTACAAAATGTATTATTCTCAACTGAACATATTATTACTTTCTTGTACACAGTGTCATGGAACAACAAAAAACATATATCACGTTCAATATGTTGTGGAGATGTGTTGACTGGATGAATGTCAGTCGGCCTGAAATGATAGAACACGTATTGCCTTGGCAAGGTGATGGGTGATTATACATTAGATGTGTAGTTTCATCTCATGAAAAGTGTTGAATCCTTCACGTCTGTCAGTAAAGGGATTCAGTAACCGCGCTATAAACCAATTCTTCGTGCCGCTTATCCTTTTGCTGACGTTGGGTTTGCAGCGTAACTTCACTGTCACAGATGGACACGCCAAACTAGCGCGGCGGCTCAGCAGACGTACCTTAACCGTCCACTTGATAATGTTTACAAAAAGCACAAGGAAGGTCAGGTCAGGTCAACAGCACGCTGACATATTGCTGCACTCAATTGGTTTAGCAGTATTTAGCATCAAGCAAGATGTGTTTGCAACAATACTTGTCAAAGGAAAAAAAATCCAGCAGCACCATCATCCGATCTGAAAAGTTCCCAGTGGTCTTGTCTATGCCGGAAGACGTCATGGCGAGTTGTTGTAGATGTAGAGGACTCGTGATAAAGACCATATTTATTATTCTTATTTCAGTTCGTGGCAAAAGGTTGAACCATTCCTTTTTGACGAAACAAAAAAAGTCTGAATCCAGTTTAAGTACATCCGGCAAAACGACAATCCTCACTAGCAATATCCAGAGTATACAATATCTTGAGCACCCAATGCAAAGTGCATTTAACAATCTTATTCGCTCGGAGAATACTTCATCCCATCCTGAAGGAACAACATGAAACGAAAGCAATATTACATCATTCGAAATCCCAAATCAATGATTTTATGATTGTAAAGGTGGTCTGACAAAGTCAGTTTGATTCATCACTGGAAGAGCAAAGCAAGCCAAATACTCCCTGTAACTACTGGGAGATTTGATCAGTACGAAATCGGAGGTGTTACACCCGCTATGTAAACTACAACAGAAATACAAAGTGTATAACATTCACTCAGCTGAGAGAAATGCATGTATTCAAGTAGTTTTAGTTTTCAACGATTTGTGGAGACCTTAACGTATGTCTCTGCAGTGCGAGTAAACGGTGGGGTCCAAAGAATCATCATCATCGTCGTCGTTGCTTTCATCATCACCATCGTCGTTGCTTTCCTCACCCTGGATCAAGGTTCTGGCCATGGACATACCATTTCCACTTTTCCCTGTCTTGGGCCAGCTTCTTGACATTATTCCATGTGATTTCGCTTTTAATAATAATTAGAATTCAGAATAATTCAGCAGACCCTAGAACACGACCCAGAAACATTCTCAGCTTCCCTGGAAGTATACAGTGCCAGCAGTGAATTACAAACGCTAAAACACAGACATACTGACAAGATCTTTTGCTTTCTATGGCCGATTACCCATTGTCACGTGGATAAAGTGAGGAAAATGCACGAGAAGTGCCTTTGCCAAGGACACAGCGTCGGGCCCTTGACGGGATTCAAAGCCAAGACCTTAGGCTGAGAGTCTGAGAGTCTAAAATCATTTTCTGTTATTCTTTTTCAAGTTCCAGGTGGCCTTCCTCTTGATCACTCACAATGATCAAAGAGAATGCTCGGTCTAAATTCTGTACGCATGACGTGGTCACAAAATTAAGCAAAAAAGGCGAATAGTTTATAGCATTGTGATAAACTCTGTTCCCACGAACCCTTACGAAAGACGCCAAGAAAAGAGCATGCTGCAGTCACTGTGCAGGCATGTTCTGACTAGAAACGTCCAGAAACTGAGTCACATCATCGGGACTGGCCTGGACGTGGCTAGGATCACCCAGGAACGAGCGACACCATCTGTGTATTCCATTAACTGAGATGCTGCTTAAAAACGTTCAGAAATGAGTCCTTATTCAGAAAAACCAAAGGAAGTTCTGAAATCAGTTCCATACTGGAGAGTCGGCGCGAGAATTGCAGCCCCTCAGAAATGAGAGTTCTCGTCCGCTCAAGCCAAATCGGTCTGTTTCTCTTTAAGCTGTTTTTTTTCTAAATCTGGTTAGAAATGAGTCATTCATGTCAGCGTGGTTTAAAAAACCCAGATCAGAAATGAGTCATCTCGTCCGGATAAGGACGGCCGTACTCGTCTGGCGGTGAACCGCGTTTTACGACGGTGGTGAGATCCTCACTAGATCGTCTATCCAAGGGAGATAACGACCTTGAAGAGCTTCGACTGTCGTTTGTAGAGTAGCCAGGGGGTCCGTCCTTGTAGTCTGACTCTCTCCGCATCCCGTTCAGGCTCGGGTGCCAACCGTTGGTCGTGTGTAGCTGATGCGGGTGAGGGTGCGAACCGGTCCCGTTCTTGGAGATGGTCGTCCTGGTGGTACCGCTAGCGTGGTATCCGGTTCCGCTGTTACTGTTGCTGAGCCTTCTGCCTTGAGAGTCAGCCCCCTTGGATGACGTGTCTGTGTACATCGATTTGATTGGTCCACGTCTGCGTTTCAGGGTGCCGGTGGTAAACAGCTGTATCCAGGCGAGCTTGGCTTCGGGGTTGAAGAGACAGCGGAAGACGAATATCAGGAAACCTTGAAGGGAGTTGCAGATAGTGAAGAGATAAGCGAACACCACGCGGGCTTCACGGAGAGCGAGAGGGCCAAAGATCCAGGGTATGCCCATCAGGAACATGACGGCAAAGGCGCCTCGTACCTGGGCGGGGGTCACTGATACAGAACCGGTGCTGGCAGGTTGCTGGAGAGAGAGAGAGGAAAAAAGGCATTAGAGGAAGATTACAAGTATATCTTGCTGTCAAGTGTGATGCGAAGAAAACTGGAATGGTATGGCCATGTAACAAGATCATGTCGCCTATCCAAGACCATTTTTCAGGGAACTGTACAGGGGACGAGAAGGGGAGGAAGACAAAGGAAGAAGTGGACCGACAACAATGCGGAGTGGACAGGGAAATCCTTCGCCCAAACTCAGCGCTCGCGAAAAAAACAACAACGTGAAAAGCGGTAGCAGCTGACGAGGCTCTCTATCATACAACGCCCCTACGATCCTCGTGGATCATGGGACCAGTAAACAGGAAGCAACAAGCATCTCGCGACTGTGGAGAATGGAGGGGGATTACATGTTAATCTCTGAGTCAGAGATGACACCCCAAAACAGACAAGCAGTAAGTAAGTGTATTGGTTTGATGCATCTATCAACGGTATTCGGTCATCTAAGAGGAAGGGCCCTCGACTTTAAATTTACGTCCGTCTTCAAAAGGCCCGAGCAAGCCAAATGGGCTGAGAGCCTTGAAAACTCCCCATAAGGTCCCAAGTTTCGGAAGGCCAAGTCTGAAATTCGAACCAGAGCCATCCGCTCCGTAGTCCAGCATTATGTCAGTTGAGTTCACGGGGCGCTCCAGTTTTCAAGCAGTCGGTTCATACAGCGTTGGTTCTTATGTATTTCCCATAGACAGAATATTCTATTCTGCTTTATATATTGTGTTTGTAGTCGAAGGGGGGGGGTAGATAGATAGATAGATAGATAGATAGATAGATAGATAGATAGATAGATAGATAGATAGATAGATAGATAGATAGATA